CTATAGTACATCGATGATGCATCGATATCTCATATTTATTCATGAGACTGCGTGGATCATGACAGCGCATGGTGCTTTCCTATGACAGACACTTCATACTTTAAGATCACAAACAGTAGCTGAAGGTTGGTTGCAAGTGAGTGTTTGTTGCTATAGTGTAAGAGTTCAAAAGCTGGGATAAATTAAAAAGTTAAAAATACACAGTCTGGTCTTGCATATATATGTGCAGTCATCAGATTTAATTAAAGATCAAGTCATCAGAAAGTACGACGCAAATTGTCATTTTCTGTCATTGTTAATGCATTAGTGTGATCTACAAAGCTTCTCTTATTTTCATTGCAACCTGTTTAATATCTGTGTTGTTATTTGGATTGGAATGCACGCTCACTCTTTGAAAACAAACAAACTATAGATCCAATACACTTATGAATAGTTGATTTCCATGTATTCACTTTTAGCTTAATGTGCTTAATGCGAGTCGGTAGTCATTCACACAGCACAACCCCTCCACTAGACGGCAGTATTCTATAATGTTTTATCACTGTAGAACCAAGGTTTAAGAGAGAAAGAGAGACCTCAAACTTTACCAGTAAATGCATATTTATGGATTGACAGTCAGAAACTAGAAGCTAGACATTTTCTAAGATTCAAACCAGCAATCTTACTGTTAATAGTGCCATGCTTTAGCAGTTGAGCTACACAAGGCATGACTGGCATGGCATTTAAAAGCTTAATTCTCATGTTAATATGTATTGCATCTTTATTAGAGCTAAGCAGTCTTTGTCTGTGCGTGTGGACCTGTTTGCCCTCGAGCTCGATATGTTTCAGCTCCCAGAAGCAGTGCATGGTCTCGACCCTCTCCAGACAGTGGAAAAAGGCCAGTTTGGCCAGAATGATGCTTTCAGAGCACTGATGCACAACCTTCAGTTTGGCCTGTTTGACTCGAGGAGATCCATCTGCAGTCTCTGTGTTTCTGAGCAGCACTGGGCTCTTTCCAGAGCTAGATGTGTAAAACAAAGAGTGAAATTAATTAGTACATAAATACATTTCTGCAACAGAAAGTAAATGTTTAACTGTGAAATGTATTTTGTTATTTAGATACACATACAGTAATATCAACTGGCAATAGACCACCAGGCTGTGGAAAGGTCTCTGGTTTGTAGTTAATTCACTCATTTGCACCAGATACCTTCAAGCCTTGTGTTCTATTAAAGGATTCCAGAATAGAAAAATCTTGATGATTACTCATTCCGTCTTAAAGGGAGAGTTCACCTTCAGTTGCTATGGAGAGGGGGAAAAAAACACTATGCAAGTCAATGGGGACCAGCAACTGAAAGTGAACTATCCCTTCAAGTCCCAAAGTAACATTTCAGGATTTTTCTCCATATAATGGACTTCAGTGGGGACCAACGGGCTGAAGGTCCAAATTGCAGTTTCAATGCAGCTTCAAAGCACTCTACACTATATATATTATTATATACATCAAAGAAACCTGAAAAAATTATACTCAGCTGTTTTCAACATAATAATAATAATACATTTTTCTTGAGCAGCAAATCAGAATATTAGAATTATTTCTGAAGGATCATGCGACTGGAGTAATGATGATGAAAATTCAGCTTTGAAATCACCGAAATAAATTACATTTTAATGTATATTCAAATAGAAAGCAGTTATTTTAAAAAGTAAAAATATTTCACAATATTACTGCGTTTGCTGTTTTTTGGATCAAATAAATGCAGGCTTGTTGAGCAGAAGATAATTCTTTAAAAAACATGAAAAATCTTCCTGTTCAAAAACTTTTGACTGGTAGTGTATATTTCTCTAAAAAAGACAAGCTACTTAAAGCCAGAAAATGTGCTGAAAACACACCTTATGAATGTGCAAAGTTGAGTTCTGTTTAATTAATTCAGCCTATTAGGCTTTTCCAAGACAGACAGATCAACACGATCATGTTTACTCTGTGACAGACCTGATATTTTGTCACGTGTGGATTGTATGTGTAAGTGTGGAGTAAGTGTCAGACGTGCCCTTGTTATCACGGCCTCATTCCCATGATTTATAAGTGGTTTGGATTGGTGAGTAGGACAAACAGTTGTCTGAACCAGCTGTGAAGTGCTGCAGATCAGGTTTTAGGGCCCTCAGGGGTCAAACACAGTAAACACTGACGGTGCTGATCTGTGCTGTTTTCAGCTGATGCGTGAACAAAACGTCACCAAACATTATTCGTAGCGCGCATCTAGGGCTAGGGGATATAGTTAAAACATGTATCATGATTTAATGTTTCATCTCATTCGATTGAATTTTTTTATACCCTTTTTTAAACAGAGCAGTAGAAAAAAGATTTAAATTTAACCACTGTATTTTTACAGTTTAGTCAAACAACAACTAATTTTAGTTTTAACAGTCAAACACAAAATAAAATTGAAGCAAATATCTCCTTTCTTATATTTTATATGCAGATTAAATAAGTAAGGAAACTTTTGGCCTGTCTCCTGAGGCCACAATGAGCAAAATAGTGCACCTCATTAAACTGTTTATTCAATGCGATGAAATAAGACTGTCTATAAAAAAAAATTGCATACCGTCTAATCAATTTAATCCTTTGGTTTCCTCCAATATTCAAACTAGAGGTCGATCAATAATGGATACATTTATCTTGAAAACTGAGTTACAGTTCATGTTTTAGCTCCATTAGATGTTGACAGTTGTCCTACACTCTTATCTACAAGCAACCAATATTATGTGTTGTATATTAACATATTCTTTACTTAAAACCAAGTCTCATCTTTCTTTTTCTACACTCAAGATGTTACCAGTCATTAAAGAGATGATTTACCCAAATATGAAAATCTGTCGTCGTTTACTCACCATCATGTCATTCCAAACCTGTAGGGCTTTTGATTCTTCAATGAAAGTAGATGAAGCCAAAATTACAGTTCTCTTTCCATTCAGTTCACTCAACATTGTGTCAGTAGCTGATGCTGTGAGGGAAACAAAAGTTCCTTTACTTCCGACATCAACTTCAGCAACACGAAAGAATGCTGAAAATCCCCAATATACACTAAATGTCATTAAAATACCCATGATGCAATGCATATTACAGTAGTGAATCATAAAAATAGTTTTATTGGGCATTTTGCAGTAAGTAACTTTAGAAATTACAGCAACCATTTACCAATAACATTTTGTTTACTGATTTAAAGAAAATAAAGTGTGAGGAACTTGGTACATGGTACAAATCCGTCCAATGGTAAACTTTTAAATATTCCAGTAGCACTTTCACTATTAACTATTAACAGTTTTTCCTAATTGTCTGCTTATTAAAAGTAAGGAAGGTAGTTGTAGTAGTTGAGCTGATGACCTGAATCAAAAACTGAGAAATGCTATTTTTTTTAAAGTCAATTTAAAAGCCATTTCTGAAAGCAGACAAAGCCAGTGACTAGTTCTCACAGTCAAAAACCCAACTCAATGACACTTTGATGAAAACTGAAAGCTTGCTCCATAATTCAGGCTTCAAAGTCTTTGATTCTGCTTTGTATTTCCCCTATTGAAAGTCTATCAGACCACTGCAATCACGAGTAAAACCATGCATGGCTCTTTATTAGCATGAGTGAAAGATGGTATAAAGATGGTCTATGTTTCTAAAGTAGACGTCACTTGCAGCTGTGCGCGAATTGTGGTGTCAGAAAAACACTGGGAACAAGTGGAGGGAAACGGGTAAAATCCATGGAATAAGAGAAAAAATGTATCGTTGTGCTTTTGGATGTCAGAATCAGAATGCAAATCATTTTTATAGAATACGGTCATCAAAGACGCTTATTGAAGCTAAACGCAGACGTTTAGATGGACAACCTATGGATGAAACCTGCTATGATTACCCTACTTTAAAGCATACATTAGATTTAAACAACAGGTCTATATAATATTCACATAGGGGACATAATGCATTGGCCCTAGTTAAAGCATGAAATACTATTTAAACCTATAACATTTACATGTTTGATCTCACAATTCTTACTTTTTTTCTTGCAAATGCAAGTTTATATCTCTAGTTCGGGCTTTATAACTCGATTTAACTCAACAATCGCTAGTTTGTCAATACTGAGGAAAAAAAACAAAAGTGTGGGATTATAAACTCATGATTCTGAGCCCGAGGCGAAAAGAGAGAACGACGAGTTGATTTTTCTTATCGGAATTGTGAGATACAATCTCGGAACTGCGAGAAAAAAGTCAGAATTTTGAAATATAAACTCAAAATTACCTTGTTTATTCTTTTATTCCATGGCTTGCATAGACTGCCATGTTAAAACTTGCATTTTCTACCACCAGATAGACTCCGCCCACAAAAAAAAACAAAAACTCATGACTGTTTGCAAACACTGAAATGGGTCTGTAAATACAAGCTATGTTTCCATCCACCTATTTTTATGCGCATTTTGGATTATCGCATAAAAACCGCTGGATGGAAACGCCAAGATGCGCATAAATTCTAAAAATGCACATACAAAACTTATGCACACAACTGAGTAGGATAAACTTTTTATCCGATAAGCATAAAAGCGCATAAACTACGATGGAAACACATTTAACGAATAAATTCCACCATGCGCAGTGAAAAAGTCATGTGACTTTGCGCTATGAGACGGGATAGCTTGACTAACCAGCGGACCGATCTCATTCACAGCATCTATATATTGTTTTTGGTCGTTCTGAAATGCCTGAGGAAAGTCTGTCATCAAAGTATTTCTGTATAATTACTTTCTTACATGACTGCGTTCCCAAACAGCAGGCATCCACCTCTAAAAGCAATGACCGCATTTATTGTGTTACGTCGGCTCTCTCCGAAGCGCAAGTAATTAGTTACATATGGAAATTATTAGATTCAGTGGCTTCTCCTAGTTTTCTTAGAGATATTTAGTGTCAGTTTATCAGTGAAGTGACGATTTTGTTCTCTTTGACTCGTTGGATGGAAACGGTGCTTTATTCGCAAATGTTTTATGCGATATTCCAGTTTTGCGCATAAGTTAAATTCGCATCTTTGGATGGAAACATAGCGTTAAAGTGGATTTGTAGTGTCAGATTTTCACAGGGACTTTCTAACAGACTTTTGTTAAGAATTTAAAGCACTTCACACTATATGAATATAAAAATAAATCACGCTGCATGGTCAAAGCTAGTTTGCACACTATCTAGTGAGTCACAGAACAATACTACAGGTGCAGTCAGGAGCCCTAGTAATTGCTCTCTGCTCACTGAGACAGCAGCTTCTGGCAGCATTTGTTTCTATGTCTGAGTAGAGTATTAGATGCCTTGAAACTCGGGCACTACGGCTTCTCTCCAGTATGCATTCTCTCGTGTCTCTTCGAAGTGCTGGAATGAGTGAAACGCCTCCCGCAGTGAGCACACGCGTACGGTTTCTCTCCAGTGTGAGTCCTCTGGTGCTCTTTCAAGAAGGTGATCGTGGAGAACACATTTCCACACTCGGAGCACACGTGAGCTCTCACACCGGTGTGTATTTTCTCGTGCTTCTTCAAATATTCCAGCATGGAAAAAGTCTTCCCGCAAAAACAGCACGGGTACGACTTCTCATCCGCGTGGATTTTCACGTGCCTTTTTAGCTGTAATGCAGAAGTGAATTTTTTCCCACACTGACGGCAGTCGAACGGTCGTTCTTGGGAATGCGAGTGCTGATGGATCCGGAGATACGCCGCTTTCGTGAAACTCTTCCCGCACTGAAGGCACATGAAGGGCTTTTCTCCGGAATGAATGCGCAGGTGATTCTTCAGGATGGCTTTACGTGTGAAACTCTTCCCGCACTGAGCGCACATGAACAATCGTTGTCCGGTGTGGATCCGTATGTGATCCTTAAGGGTTCCTTTGTGCAAAAAACTCTTTCCACACTGTAAGCAGATGAAAGGCCGTTCGCCAGAGTGAGTTCTGATGTGGTTTCTCAGCTGGCCTTTTTGCGTGAAACTCCGTCCGCACTCTTGGCACGCGTAAGGCTTTTCTCCGGTGTGAATTCGGATGTGATTCTTAAGCTGGCCTTTTTGCGTAAAGCTCTTTCCACACTGCTGGCACGCGAATGGTTTCTCTCCGGTGTGTATTCTCATGTGCTCCTTCAGGTTTGTTTTCTGTGTGAAATCCTTTCCGCACTGAATGCACCCGAAAGGCCTCGCTCCGATGTGGATGCGTATGTGATCCTTCAGGTGAGCTTTCTGTGTGAAACTCTTCCCACACTGAGGACAGATGAAAGAGTCTTGCGTTTTGTGATCCTGATATTGATGCACTTCAGTCAGTTCTTCACTTTCTTCTTTCACTTCCATCCGGTCTGAAATTAAATTATATAAAACTGAAAAAATAAACGTGAAACAGAAATAATAGTATTTCTTGGACTGTGATCTTTGATGTGTGAATGGTACTGTGCATGCATTAAATGGACTCACTGAGAGGATACCGAGAGACCAGACATAATCAAGTTCTCACGCTATTCTTCTGCCATGACATTGCTATTTCAGGTACGGTCTAAAGGAAGATATCTCTGAACGAAGTCTCCGTCATCCTTTCAGGAATGTAGTACGAAAGTGAATAGGAGGCACAACAGTGCCAGTATAACCACAGTTATTAATGGGAACAGGATGCTGTATCACATGACTAAAAATGCTCAGTTTTCACAGGCCGAAACATAAAGAAAAAGATGTATTTTCAAATGTATTCGGATTTATGTAGGCGTACACACTTAATGTGATAAATAATAATACATAATAATCATTATAATCATAACAATACATAATAAACAGTATAATCATGCCTTACTCCATGAAAAAGTAACTATATGTGTTACATAGTTACTTTTTATGTAAAGTAAGTAATCATTACATTACTTTTACGTTACTTTTTGTCACCTGGGCTGGGCGGTATACCGGTTCATACCGAATACCGGTGTTTATTTTTGTTATGATATTAATTTTTAAAATACCGCAATACCGGTGTATGTCACTTAAACAACGTTGGGAACGCGACACTGTTTGAAAGGGGTCTCTTTTCACTGTTGCACTGCGGTGAGGGAACAGCTGTATGTGTTACTAAGCGTGAAAGTTCCGAAACTGAAGCTGTAGAACTAATAGAACGTGATTACACAGAAGAACTCATCCACAATATCCACACTGACCACCACAAATATCCACCGCCCCCTGCCATCAGCTCCCGCGTCTCACACACACGAGCGCGACTTTAGCACTAGATTTAGCAACTTTCAGACCCTTTTAGCGGCTTTTTTTATAGCGACTTTTTTGGATAAACCTTAGCTATGGTTCAGTTGGAAGATTTTGCCAGTGCTGTCCCGCGAACGCGAGGTCTGACTTTCCCGCAAAAGTGTCACCTCTCTCGGCATACATGTATTAAAAGGGGTCGTGTTTAGTCACTATTTAGTGTGGTATTTTTTGACAATATTCACTCATCATGACAGTAAAATAGGGCATTCTAAGTCAATATATTGCAGTATTTCCTCTCAATCAGTAGAAAATATGGTTAACACCCGGTCATGCATGAAAACAAATACCGTCATGTACCGTGAAACTGGTATAATTTTGGAAAATACTGTGATATAAATTTTTGGTCATACCGCCCAGCACTAATATATATATATATATATATATATTAAATAGGCTATATAGGCCTATATATTATTTTTTTCCTACAAAGTGAAATTAATAAGCCTTTCGTTGTTAATTTAAAAGTAATGCATTACTTTACTACTTCCTTCAAAAAGGAATCTGATTATGTAACTCGCATTACTTGAGTATAATCAAACTGTTGCACCCAAATTTCACATCTTTTCCCCCTTAAAAGACTGTGTCTGTAATATAAAGCATAAAACAAATCAAGATTACTTCTCTTATGACATCTAGTTTTATTGGATAAGTTTTTGTGCAAAGGGAAAAAGGCGAGTGTAAAAGTAATGAATGAATGAATGTTGAAGCAAATATGTGCAGAATAGGGATGAAGAGCATTGATGAAGGTAAAGTGTATCACACCGAGTAGAAGAATACATGTTTTTTATAGTAATTTGCATGCACACCTAAAAACGCCTAATTACTGATAAATTTGACAACCTAAACGTGTTTGTAGTTTTATGCATTATGATTTGGCACTAATTGACTTGCCACTGCTCATGAACAGAGCTTAATGCATTCATACTTTTTTTATTTTAAAATGTTTTATTTTTCCTAATAGGTGATATAGTAACTAAGTGTAATTTAAGTGAATATTTTCAGCAGGGAAGCTGCTTACTGAAGATGGTCAGATTAGAAATGATACGGATAACACTCATCACTCACTTTAAAACCATACTACATGGTTTATAAATTGCAATGCAATACTGTGAAGAAGACTGCACGGTAGTTACCTATAGGCTTGCTTTCCTCCTCGCCGTCCATAGCTGTTCTAGTTCAGAAAACACAACGGAGAGAGAGGAGCTTGAGACAGATGGAGCTCCACAGACACACATCTGCTGCTTCTCTCGTGTGGACTGTGAGACTGAACGCCATTCAGCACATTACTGCCATCTACAGCCTTTAGACGCCTCGGAACCTTTCAACTTTTGTCTTGAGAATCAAAGCACGCAGTGATTTGCTGTTTCGATGTGCTCGCAGAGGATATCTGCTGGTTAAAGCCTGTAAATGCAATGAGGATGCAGCAAAACATGTGCAATGATGCTGATGCAATGAATGAACGAACGAATTAATGAATGAATGCACTTTTGAAGGCATATTTTTCTCACCCAGTTGAAAATATAGGTCATACTTTATTTCAAGGTCCAGTTCTCACTATTAACTAACTATAAACTATGAATGTTGCCTCAATAAACTCCTATTCTAGACAGCACATGTACGTCTGCAAGAGGTCTGTTAAAGATCACTTCATCTGGAAAGCATCTGCTCTGTGCAAACATCTGTAAGATGTCAATTTTACGTGCATTCTAAATCATAAACATCTTAAAGACATCTTCTGAACGTCTATTTGATGTCTCCGTGATGTATGTGTGGTATTTGCTGCTTATTAATAGTTATCACCGATAGCACTCGTACATCACAGATACGTCTATTTGTCATCTGCATTTACATCTGCGAGACGTATTTATTTATTTGTTGTTTGCTCATCTGCAATACGTCTATAGGAACGTTTAGAAAATGTCTTTAAGATGTTTATGTTTTAGAACGTATGTAAAACTGACATCTTAGAGACGTCTATCAGATGTTTGTATACAGATGCTTTCCAGATGAAGCGATCTTTAACAGACATCGTGCAGACGTACGTGTGCTATCTGGGTAGTTAGGTAGTTGTTAAGTTTAGGTATTGGGTAGGATTAGGGATGTAGAATATGGTCATGCAGAATCTGTGCTTCATAAGTACTAATAAACAGCCAATATGCATGCTAGTAAGCAACTAGTTAATAGTGAAAACTTTTATTATTATTATTATTGTTGATCAGCAGTGAAATACTCAGACCAGTCACTTAAATCACCTTCTTTTGCCCATTCTGATGTTCGGTTAGAACTTCAGCAGATGTTTTTTGACCATGTCAGCATGCCTAAATGCCATGTGATTGGCTGATTAGATATTTGTGTTAATGAGCAGTTGAACAGCTTTACCTAATAAAGTGGCTGGTGAGTGTGTATAACATCCATGCAAGATTTAATGCAGTTTAACTTGTAGCAGCCAAATATTAGTCTATATAAAACTTTGTCCACATAACTTTGTCCACATAAAATTATAGCTATTAAGTAAGCCATAGCAATGCAAAGGAGTTGTATTCAATGTTTAACATTGTATTGTATTTCATCACCACAAAATCCTATTAAACACAATGCATAATCTGAAATGTGGTGTAAAAGTACAGGCAAGCATTCTGATGCCAACTTAAATGAGCTCAATAACACAGCAGAAGTTTCCAGAATTGCTAAATTGTCATTTGATTCTCTTTTACAATGCAATTGTTATATCTCTAATGGGACCATGAAATGAAAACTACTACAGATGTGCCATGAAAATATATGCAATGCAGCAGCTGGTTAAAGTGAGTTGGTTATGCTGTAATATAACAGCATTTCTTCCAAAGATCTCCATGTGAAATGTCTGCGTCATATACTCCTCGCCTCTGGAAGCAAAGAACACAAAGCAGACACTGAGTTTGCTGTTAAATCAAAACACAATGTTGTCATGTTGCTTTAATCGTGATATTAAACCAACCAGCTATGCTGCTGCATATTGCGTGCGGCGCTGCATGTGTTCAACAGCACGTCTCCTGTGGAAGAGTAAGCACTCAGATCCTCCGCTCTATATAGAGAATCGGGTCTGCAGACACACAAACACACACATGAGCTGACACTGAACACACACTTTCACTGACAATGTAAATATAGGTTTATGAGGGCATTTAAGCATGTGGAGACACAGAAAGTTCAATAAATGTTGCAAATAATGACCTCCTCAGATAAAGGTTGGAGATGCAGCCCTTAAAGGTGTCTTTGCCCAGGATCACGCTGGACGAATACAGTCCAGATGAAGATCCCGTCACTCTCTGGCCAACATCTTCTTCATCAATTCGAAGTTCAGTGCTAAAACAAAGTTGAACATCAGTATGAAGAAAAAAAAAAATAGGAAAACTTATGTACACTTCAAATGCTTATAATTACATGTGTCTGCATTTGTAAATATATGGAGAATTGTTTGCATTCTAAACCATTATTTAATTTAATGAGCCCCATTGGCTACAACTTGTGTTTTCATTGTTATTTTCCACCAAAAGTGAATGTTACAAAATGCAAATGTTACTGTTGTACGCTGTCAAATCATATTAATTACTGCAATCGGGCAAAACTATATAACAACTTCAAATGATCTGTTTTCCCAGGCCAAGGAATCTTACCGTTGGCCCTGTCCAGAAACAGTGAGATAATGCCATTCTCCATCCCTGTACTGCTTAGTAGATTTCCAGACGCTGCCTTGGAATTTCAGGAGCACATATCCGTTCTCCATGGAAAGCTCAATGTCTTTATTCTGCCACAGAGAAATCACAGTGCCAATAATAAATACACAATGAGACATGATATGCAAGTCTTCCATAAAAGCACGCTGTGATATAGGATTATTTTGTTTAAAACTCATACAAAGCTTAACAAAAAAAAAAAAAAAAAGTTAAATGTAGTCACATTCTATATTTTATAGATATTTAAGAGATATTAAGAGGGATAGAAATTATTTTGCTACAATTTCTAATTAACTAATTTGTGTCACTTGGCATATGAATTTGTACAAAGGGTCAGATTATCTTGCACAAGACACCCCACACAGCAAAAAAAAATAAATAAATAATAATAATATTTTGCCTCTGGCCAATATATATATATATAGTATGTGTGTGTGTGTGTGTGTGTGTGTGTGTGTGTGTGTGTGTGTGTGTGTGTGTGTGAGAGATATTGTAGTTTTTTGGAACATTGTAAAGTATGTTTCGACACATGCTATAGACAACAAATAAAGTATTTCTTCAAATGTGACTAATGCTAATGTATTTTCTTGGACTGAAATATATGGAGGGCAAAATAATTTTTTTAATGCCTTAAAAAAATATTTCGATTTTTAAAATATATTTTCAAAAATAAAAAAAAATGGCCAAAACTATATTGGTATAAAATATATTTTGAAATCTATCTATCTATCTATCTATCTATCTATCTATCTATCTATCTATCTATCTCTTCTGAACATTTTTGTTTGTCCACACAAGGATCAAGCTCTTAGCATTCAGAGTTTTCCTCAGAAATTACTTGAAGAGACAAACCCACTAATTAGAAGAGAGTGTGTATGTGCATTTGACCATAACGTGTGTGTAACTGTGGAAGAGATCCGCACATTTTTGCTGTTCTGCAGCAGGATGCCGTCTGGTTTTGTACTCCTGAAGCCCAGAGAAAGACTGACATCGTCCAAGCTGAAGTCTTCATGGAGTTTCTCCAATGCACTGCCGAGGCTGAATTCAGCTTTCCTCACCATCTGGAAAAGAGCACGATGGATAAGAAATGACACCTTTCTGTGTTTCATCTGGGTGAATGCTGAAGAAACCAAGCTAGGATATTACCTTTAAAGGTAAATATAAATAATGAAAGATTAACTGGATTACCAGTAGCTCATTAGTGCAGCCTCTGCCGATGCCCACTTTCTCTTCAACGCTCGGAGTGGGGCCGCCGGCGGTGCCGATTTTCACACAGCCTTTCAGAGCCGGGATAGTGATGTTGTATCTATAATAAAGCAATTCAGAATTAATAAACCATCATACGATTGTTCTGAAAAGGTCTGAATCACATTTACTTGTTCTGGGTCATGAACTGAGAAATCAAATTTCCCTCGATGTTTTGACATATAACAGGTAAGTTGTGAAAAACAGTATATTAATTGCCTTCCTTGTGATCTTAACACCATATCTGCATCAGATGCGAGCCTTGTTGTTGCATCACGTCGCGAATGCGTTTCTCTTTCATGTCGCAAGCAGCGTGAGCGCTTGGAGTACATCAGAAATATGTATGTAGAAATATATATCTGTACACTGTTATGGATGTTTATCTACATTCTCTCTGTATCTTTAATGTTACTTTCTCAGTGGTCTCTGTATATTACTCTCAGCTCTTGGTTTGAGTTCTGTCTTCTGGTATTGATGTTTATTTGTTTCTGTTCCTTAAACCTGACTTGTAAAGTGACCTTGGGTGTTGGAAAGGCGCTATATAAATACAAATTATTATTATTATTATTAGAAATAGAGTGGGACATCAGTTTACTGTCGGCAGTATTGCGGGTAATGCAGGTTATGCTATCAGATCACTTTTGCAAGTAACTAGTAAAGTAACGCATTACTTTTTTTAGTTTAGAATGTTGTCATTCATGTATATAATGCAATTTTATTAACCAATGTCTTTGCTGCTGACCTTCAGTGATCACATTTGCCAAAAATACAACTTTTTTATATTAAAAACAAACAAGCAAGCCCAGCCCCGACTAGAAAAAGTAATGCAAAAGTAACTTAACTCATTACTTTCCATAAAAAGTAACTAAGTAACGTAATTAGTTACTTTTTTAGGCAGTTACACAATATTGTAATGCATTCCTTTTAAAAGAAACGTTCCCAACACTGACTGTCAGGGATTTGTTGTGTCAATCCACGTCACATCCAGTGTGGACAGAATCACTGATTATAATGGGTTCTGTTGTGTTTAGGAAAGCGCTCCCGATCGCGTCAGTGAAACACTGCTTGTTTGTTTGCTTCATTTTACTGTGGACTTGTTTTTAAACACGACAGTTCGACACAGGCTTTACAGAGAGACTGAAATGAAAAAAAAAGATGATGCAGTGCTGAATCGAACTATACTGGATCCAATGTCGCAACACATAAGCGTGAGTAACTGTGTTTTTACCACTACTGCATCGTCTGCTCCTGATTGTTTGATGTGTACTGAGAATTTATATGTTTTTAACCCAAATGACCCATGTTGATTGCAGAGTACATCACAGCAGCGTCCAACTATTATTTTAATATGCAAAACTGTTCAATCATAGCAGTGGGCGTTTAGTTTTGAGTCTTGAATGTCCCCCGCCTATAAAAAACAGACCGATCTGCAGAGAGGCTCAAAAACAGGACAGAAAATAGCCTATTACTTCTAAATTATGATGTTTTTTATGATGTAAAACTCTTGCTAACATTATAAGCAGACCTCAAATAATAAAAAGTGCAGTTCATGATCCCTTCAAAGGGAAGACATTAAGACACGGACCTCTCACGCAAAGTGTTTGGTATCCCGCCGACGTAGAAGTGCTTGAACGTTTGTGGAATGACGTCTGTACTTTTGACCTCGGTGTTCCCGACTCGGACTTTAAACTCTCTTCCTGCAATAATCAAGATTTTCACATCTGTTTCCTGAAATACAAAAGACAGAGCGCAATTTAATTGTCACTGCCGTGACTATGTACAACATCTTAAAGAAAAAAGTCAACTAGGCTCTTCCTTACCGGAGACAGGCTTGCTTTATCTTGACTGCTGACAGGCTCCAAAATATTCATTTTGTTTTGGCCACGCAGAACAACGTAGCCTTTCTCAAGAGAGATGCTGTAGAAAAAGTCCTGATAGGGTATGAAGAAAACAAAAAAATGAAAATCTCAAAAAATAATTTTTATGGGAAATTTGTATTAATTAAAGATACATCAGAAAAGGCTCAATAGGTATGAACAAATTCTTACATCCTCCTCGTCTCCTAAATACAGCAAAAGAGCATCCTTAGCTCTCGTTTCCACTTTCTGATTGATCCACAGATAGTTGGGGAATCTTTCAAGCAGGACTTTGGCGTAACCGGTGCCTTCATAGTAATCTGACTCTGAGATTGTCAGTGGGATTTGTCTGAGAAAATAGAAACAGATTTTACTTACATTTTCATAAAATGTATTTCATACAGTTTTCCATTCATGCTGCATGTGATCTTTAAATACTATTCTGAATATGTACGTGCAAATGTAGTGACTGTGATTACTGGTTATATTGTGAATATACTGTATTATTACTTATTAGTGCATCAGCATCTCACCATTCACATGTTGAGAGCTTACCTCTTGCAAGGGGTTTCTAAGTTAATATTAACCGCATTCTTAAAGTTGTACAGACTGATTAATTTGTCATTGAAGGTGGAAAACTCAATGCAGCCCTTGTATTTGCCATAGTTGAGAGAGGCAGGCAGCTAAAAAAGAGAGAAAACAAATATGTGACCCTGGAGCACAAAAGCAGTCTTAAGTCGCTGGGGTATATTTGTAGCAATAGCCAAAAATACATTGTATGGGTCAAAATTATACATTTCTCTTTTATGCCAAAAATTATTGGGATATTAAGTAAAGATCATGTTCCATGAAGATATTTTGTAAATTTCCTACAGTAAATATATCAAAACTTAATTTTTGATTAGTAATATGCATTGCTAAGAACTTCATTTGGACAACTTTAAAGATGATTTTCTCAATATTTTGATTTTAGATCATGTTCCATGAAGACATTTTGTAAATTTCCTACTGTAAATATATCAAAACTTAATTTCTGATTAGTAATATGCATTGCTAAGAACTTCATTTGGACAACTTTAAAGATGATTTTCTCAATATTTTGATTTTTTTGCACCCTCAGATTCCAGATTCCAAATATTGTCCTATCATAACAAACCATACATCAATGGAAAGCTTATTTATTCAGCTTTCAGATGATGTATAAATCTCAATGTCAAAAAATTGACGCTTATGACTGGTTTTGTGGTCCATGGTCACATATGTACATAAAAATGCATCAAGAATTAAAGAGCCATCATCACACAAAATCCTATAGGAGAAAAAAAATGCAATTTACTTTGAAGTCATCTGGATAACCTCCTACATAGAAGACCACTTTATCTGGACTGAGATCCAGCAGGTTGCGTGTAAGTTCACCCAGGTTTTCTTTCAGCTGTGGCGGCTTCGGATTGATTGACGTGAACTGCTTTGTTTGAATAACTCGTGCATCTTGATAAATTCTAGATGACATATGGGGGAAAAAAACAGGTGCATATAGTGGATAAAATATAATGCAAGTACAACTATACTAGAGACATTTGACACTGTTAGTAACCAAAATGCACTACTGTTTTAGTTTGAGCATAAGCAAGCAAAAGCCCCAAGAAAGGATAAATCAACATACTTCATTCCTTTAAATAGACACACAACTTGAACATATTTACCAACAGCTATATGTGACAAAACACAGCTGTTTGTATATAAATGAACGCAGAGGTGATAGTTCAAAATTCAGCATAATGTTAAGAAATCATGCATTCAGACAATATTATATCGGAAATGGTTTGGAAAGAGACTAATGCATAGGTGAAACCTTATAGATGCTGTAGGAGATACTAACAAACACATTCACATTCAGAAAGTAATAAAAATACTGCATTTTTTCAAATGCACTGTAGTACACGTGTGGTAAAGCGTATGCAATAATACTGCAGCAACTCCACTTTCACTGCATCTAAATGATCACACTTACTATGCAATACCAAGAAATGTAATTTTTCATTTTATTGACAGGAATAGCACACAGCTTTCAGGAAGTAATGGAGAAACACTGGGATTCAAACCAAACTGTTTCAGCCTAAAATAAATCAATACCAATAGTTGTTGTTGTTTTTTTTTTAAATTGATGCATGTTACTATACCTGTAAAGGTCGATTTTGTCGAAGAAAGCCAGATCAGATGAGGACTCTGTGATGCTGGATGCCTCAATATCGTACTCCTCTCCATTGAGCTTATAGATGACATGCAGGATGTTATTGCGAAGAGCCATTCCGATGTAGTCTCCGGATGCCTGCCAGAACATTTAACGAATGCATTAAGAGGCTCAAGCTAAAATGACCCTACCTGAGCTAGCCTGAAAAGATTTGAATGATTTGAAGTTGATCACACTCACGTCTTTGTTTCCGAGGTACAGCACGAACAGACTGTCATCATTTGTCTGGCGCCGCTGCCGGCTGGGTTTCTCGGGTCTCTGGAGGGAAAGGGTGAGAGCGGTGTACGCCCGCAGGTCATCCAAGTCTCGCGGCGGACGCAGCTCCACATGCCCTTTACCCGTGAATTTCATAGGCACAACAATCTGCAAGAGATCGAAACATTAAGAAGAGAACTATACTCTCAGGAAAAAAGGTACAAAAGCTGTCACTGGGGCTACTAACCTTTTCAAAAAGTACACCTTTGTACCTTATTTACCCCCAAAAGGAGCATATTAGTACCTTGAAGGTATGCATTAGTACCTAAAGTGTACATATTAGTACCTAAACGTTAAATATAAGTACCTTTTGAAAGGGTACCAGACCAGTTATAGCTTTTGTACCTTTTTTTTTTGCATGCAACATTTTTAGGCTCATGCTCAACATACTAAACTCCACTTTATGGACTGTGGTCAGTGTAGATGCCATGTTTAACTAGACAACCTTGAAAACAATTGGAAAATTGGTTATGGGTTGTAAAAATGATATACACTAAAAATAATTGTAACCTAAAAACGGTAGCATCTAAGTAATGTGGTTTAATTTAAAGGGACAGTTCACCCAAAAATGAAAAAGTTTGTTATCGTTTACTCGCCCTCAAGTCGTTCCAAACCTGTGTGAGTTTCTTTCTTTTGCTGAACACAAAAGACGATATTTTGAAGAATGTTGGTAACCAATCAGTTACCGGTAGCCATTGACTTCCACAGTATATATATATATATAAAAAAAAAAATACTATGGAAGTCAAAGGGGTCTATTAACTGTTTGGTTAACAATATTCTCCAAAATATCTTCTTTTGTGTTCAGCCGAGGAAAGAAACTTTTGAACAGCTTGAGAGTGTCTGTAAGGGAGATTAAACTCTATTTTAACTATTTTAGATTAAATAAATGCATTTATAGAGCAAATCATGCTTCACTTTTAAAAGGTATATGGAAAAAAAACCTGACAGCATCAACAGCATCTTTATTTCAATCCATATGTCTTGTCACAATTATTTCTACTCATATTTTAGATGATTTTCTAAAATCAAATGTGTTTGGAAAATGTTAAGTTGCTTTACACTTTATTTCAATGTACTGTTTCAGTGGATTGAATTTAGAGTGTAGAATATATGAAATGAATAGTCTTACTCTGTTAGCAGCATCTCGCGCTTGCTCAATCAGTTCCTTTATCTTATTAATATTATCAGACACGTTGTTCCCGGCGCTGATCTGAGAATTGATCTCTTCTATTTTATCCAGCAGGGATGGGATGGAGCCGCTCACATTTCTGACTGTCAGACGGACAGAACAGAGAAAGAAAGAGAATAAAGTTAAAGAGAAAGTTGTTGAAGAATCTGATTAAACACAACAGGTGCAACACTTACCGGTCATTTCCACATTATTGAGAACATTGTCAATATTCGAGACAGAAGGACTAATAGAGATCTTGGTAACTTCTGCTTTGATGTCGTTTAGCTGGTTCATTGTGTCACTCGTGGTGCGATTGGCCGCCGCTGCCGCTTTCTTAGCCGCGCCGATAATGTTACCGATGTCATCTGTGATCGGACAGAATGAAAACTTATTTTCAAGCATATTCGTGTCCCTGCTGAAAAACCAGCTAACTGTCTTGAAGGGACAGTTCACATAAAAAAAATAAAAATAAATTCTGTCATTATTCACCCACCCTCAAGTCGTTCCAAACCTGTACGAGTTTCTTTCTTCTGCTGAATGCAGAAGAAGATATTTTTGAAGAATGTGTGTAATCAAACAGTTGACGGTAGCCATTGACTTCTATAGTATGGAAATAAAAAATACTATGGAAGTCAATGGCTGCCAATAACTTTGAAATATCTTCTTTTGTGCTCAACAGAAGAGAGAAACACATACAGGTTTGGAACGACCTGAGGGTGAGTAAAAGATGACAGAATTTTCATTTTTGAGTGAACTGTCCCTTTAAGCTAGTCTAGGCAAGGAAGCTGCATAAGAAACAATCCTCCAAATGGAAATCAACCATGTCAGTGCTTGTCCTTTCATATAGAATGAACTGAGCTATATGAGACTGTCTTATGTATGGAATGGGCTTGTTTTGTCCTCAGAGTCATATGTCAAGCAGTGCTCTTTTCTCACCTCTCTGAATTCCCTTCAAACCCTCCTGGACAGAGAGCAACTCCTTTTCTAGAGCTTTCTTCTTCTCTTCAGCAGCTTGCAGGCGTTCCTTCTGATTACTGAGGTCTTTAGTTGCTCCTGATAAAGACAGAATAACAGTGTTTAAATAACAAATGATTGATTATAGTTTTAATTTAGAGTTGTAATTTTAAATTCATACAAACCTTTAAGATCTTTAGCTGCATTTTTGGCAACTTTAAGTAGGTTATTGCCATTGTTTTTCAGATTTGTTGCCCTGTTGATTAAGTCCCCTTCACTGACATCCTGAAAAAAAAAATTATAATAATTTTAATAATAAAAAATCAACACATGTATGTTTGGCAACATACATTGACCCAAAAAAAAAAGTGCTTAAAAACTCAAAGTCACACTTAAACAAATTTATTATTTTATTTTATTATTTTTTTTCAATGACATTAATGTACTATATTTTACCTAGATAATTTTTTTAGTTTTTTAATTTAATACTTTATATTTTTAGGGGATTTTATTGAAGTAAATTATATTTATACAGTAGTTATGATCCATTTAATTCCCGTTATTCACTTTTTAAGCATAGACCTGAAAATTAAATTTTCAAATTCAAATTAAATTTCCAAAAAAATAAAAAATAAATCCAAATTAAATATTGAATGCTTTGGAGCACAGACTTAAGATTGGTCTCTTTTTAAAGAAGACACTGGGCACATTATTGCTGAAGTATTAAAAAAAAAATCTAGAAATTTAAATTAATTGAGTTAAGTTAAAACTGCATGAAAATCAAATAAATCTCAACAAGTTTTGTTTAAAATTTGAGCTTGATATTTTAAAAAATTAGCTTTCAGTAAAATTTTGCCACTAATTAATTTACATTATTTTTTTCAGGACCATTTAATCTGGAAAAATTAAGTCTCCTAACATTTATCTCATTAACTGTGTTCTGCTATTGTTTCACCACAACACATTTAACAAGTTCATAAGCCTTTTTATCACTTCATATCACTATATCTTTTGTTTTATAATTTTAAACTTCTTTTTGTGAAGTGTTGGCTTGGAAAGTGTGCTTGTGCTATATATCTTGAAAATTAATGCTATATGGTTTGATTTTGTTATCCAATGCAATGCCATTCATTTCCAGGGCCGCTGTATGTATCCTAACTTTGACATTCATGCGTGTTTGGTGATGTCTCCTACATTGAGTGCTTTGTCTGCCGCCTCTTTGGCCTTCTTCGCCGCCTCCTCTGCAGCGTTGACAGCGTCGGTGATGTTTTTGTACGCCTCTATCCCAGAGAGAGCGGTTTGCACACCAGAGCGCCCACTCACATTCTGTACAGCCCTGTCCAGGACAAAAACAGCACTTATATGCTATACATCAACAGCATACTCTCTTCCCTCTGGGGGAAAAAATATGTTACAGAGACTTTATGAAGAGCACATGGAACTGGCATTTTTATGAGATGGATATCGAAGTGAAAGCGACACAACGTGGGAAAACGAGAGGCACCTTGTGACACAGGTGTGTAAACTAAAGAAGTGTCTTACTCTTGCAGCTCTTTGGCCAGTTTCTGCATGTTTTCTGCATGCTTTTCTGCCTGTTTCACAATCTTCTCTTTGGCTGCTGCTTGTGAGATGGTTTGGACTTTATCCTTGAGTTCGGTCTTTGCTCCGTTGAGCTGCGCCGCAAGCTGTTCGTATTCCTGTGGGATCATGAGAGGATTTGTCACCAATGAAATCACTAACACTGTCACCATATACTGATCTGTAACAGAAAAGCACATTAATGCATAAATGATAAAATAGTATTAAATATAAAGGTATAACTGGTTCTACACAGTAAGTTAGAAAAGCACATTAATGCATAAATGATAAAATAGTATTAAATATAAAGGTATAACTGGTTCTACACAGTAAGTTAGAAAAGCACATTAATGCATAAATGATAAAATAGTATTAAATATAAAGGTATAACTGGTTCTACACAGTAAGTTAGAAAAGCACATTAATGCATAAATGATAAAATAGTATTAAATATAAATATTACATGAATAAAAAATCATTTTGCTCAAATTTTAATTACAATATTGGGGTAAATCTTATGAGGAAATGTCTGGGTCATATTTCTCCCCAAAATATTTTTTTCATTACTTGAAATAAAATAAATGTTAACTGAAATAAAATTATATATATATATATATAAACGGGAACTTGTTTTATTTCAGCTAGTTACCAAGGCAGGTTACTCGTTTTCATCTTGTAAAACTAAAACTGAAATAAAAACTATATAGACATAAAAACAACAAAAGTTAATAAAAATGACAAAAACACAAAATTGCTAACACTTTAAATATAAATGTAAAATCTAATTAAAAATTATATCAATGATACTTAAATAACACTGATAGAATTATATATACATTTTTATATAAATATATAGCTATATAATTATGTATATAATTATAATAATTCATAAGTAATTATATATAATGAAAAGTGTTTTAGGACAATTTATATTTGTTACCGTGGCATTATGTGCGAAATTCATACACACATACATATATAATCTGCCTTCATATATGCTAAATATTGTTTCTTATTTTTCTCTTTGACCTGGGAATATTTTTGTCATGTAGTTTCTTATACTGTCTATGTGTTTCTGAAGGTTTACCATTTTGCTGTCACTGAACATATTCAGGACGTCCTCAGTGTCTTTCAGCTGTTTCACCGCAAGAACAATCTGATCCTGGACAAGGTCTCTCTCACGCTCCAGATCTTTCACTCGTTTCTGAAAAAAACAAAACAAACAAAAAACCTAATGTACACTCTCTCTTGCTAGCATGCGTTTTTGTGCTCTGAGGATTGTACCGTTCTTGATTCTTACCAGAATATCTTTAAGGCCTTCAGCGTTGATGTCGTTCTGATTGATGGCTTTCTTCACCGTATTATCAGCCTGTTTGAGCAGATCCTCTAACTCTTTCAGTTTGGCCTCATAGCTACTCAGTAGATCGTCAGCACGCTTCGACGCCGCTTCATTCTCATCGCACTGCTTTAAGATGTTTTTGACATTCTCTAAAACTACAATGAAAACATAAATGTGAAATGGCCAAACATTAATACTGCAACTCTCAGTAATGATTAGGTGATAGCTTAGACATGCACAAGCTAAATCGACAGTAAATGTACATTTGTTTGCTTCAGCTTGCTCTTTCCTGGCTGCATCTTTCTGTGTAGTGAAGCGTCGTTTTTCCATCTCCTTCACCATGTTCTCAGACTGTTCCAGGAGTTTGGCTAAATCTGTGTTGGGCAAAGCTGATCCACTGCTGTTTGAGTCCATCAGCTGCTTCAGGAGCTCTGAAGAACAAATTCAGTACATATATCATACATACAGTACATATTTCATTCCGTAATCATTATTACAACTAAAAAAGGGGTAAATGCATTGAAATGTTTTCACATCTTTCACATTCATTCATTAATGAGAAGTTGTTGAGAAGTTAATGAGAAGTTGCTTATTAATGAGTGAATGTTATGAATTTTGAAAGTTACTGTGTTATTACCATGTTATTACTGCATTTAGGTCTTTTTAAGTATATATATTAAAAAAAATGAAAACTTTCAAATGACACATAAACCATAATGAACCCCACTGGAATAAATTTAAGTTGATTAAATTCCTTTGAATTTATGAACTCGTGATTGCTATAAAACAGTCCAAATGTATGAAACCTACATATTTATTTCTAACAAAACAACAAATATTACTACAAATGTCAAACAAAATACATTTAATTTTATTAAATTATTTTACTTGCATAAACTTTCACTTTCAGCTGTTAAAAGTGATACATTTTTCAATGCCGCAATGGTTCATCAGAAGGCATACATATTCATGTTCATCAATAAAATTCAGTCCCAAAAGTGTGTGAGATATGGGGAAAAGGTTCAATATATATTACAAAAAATGTTTTATACATTAACATAACTTCATGGAACATTTTTACAAAAAGTGTTTTTGACACAACTGGTGCTCCATACATACCAGGCGAAGATGACCTGAACACAAAATGTGTAGCATTTTTTTTTTTTTCTTTTCTTTTCTTTTTTTTTTATCTCTTCAAGGTCAAAATGAACCGAATGCGTTATGAGGGATAACATAAATCGTAGCCTTTGGGAACAGTGGCTGGAGACATTCATTCAGCTCGGGTCTGTGTATTATGGCATTGTTCACAGCACACAGGATCTGTCTGGACAGGCCTGCTATTCAGTCATCCTGATCCTCAACAGTGAGAAAACACCACACCTGCGGCCATTTATCAACACAGCACACAAAAGCAGCACTGCTAACCCAGTTTGACAAACCCATGTCATCTGTGTACCTTACTTATCCCTAAACGGTACAAATTAGTTCCTTAAATGTACATATTAGTAGCTTTTGAAAGGGTGCCGCCCCAGTGACTGTTTTATACCTTCTTTTCTGAGAAGGCTTATTGCTATCCAGTTAAATGAGCAGCTCTACAAAACGAGTCTGTCCTCATTCATTGCACAGTATCACACAGAATTACAGGTAATGCATTATTATTAATATAAACCCCAAATCTGTTTGTGTTTTACCTTGTATTTTTCTGAGGAGGTTCTGTGTCTCGGTGTCCAGATCTTTTGCTCGTTCGTGGCTGTTTTCAGCGTTAGAAAGTGCTTTCTGCGAATCCTCGGAATGCTTCCAGACCTGGACATACAACGGCTTGATTAAATATTTGATCTCCAGCAAGTGTAATGAAAATAGAGAGATCTCAGATCTGAACAGCCCAGCAAGCAGCAAACATCCCATACGACAA